TTTTATAGGCACGTTCTTTGCTGTGAAAATATTTTGACATTAACATTGGCATTGTAAGTTGATCCTTTTAAAACTAGAATTGGGTCAGTGCTATTGGCAAAAACAGTTGGTTTTTTTCACAAATTAAAACAGTATACTAAATGTGAAAACTGACTTTTCTACATCCTATACCATCTTCTACATCAAAATGTAGTCTGTCTTACACTTGGCACTTTTGTGTAGTGGAATTTGCTGCCACCTTGCTGATTTATAAGAAGGACTCACATGCAAGTGGTAAGACATAGATACTAAACATCTCATTCCCTGGTGAGATTTAATATTCACTGCTGAATATTAAATATTTTTAAATAATCTGGTTCAGCAACAGTTACTGAGCTGAAAAAACAAACAACACCCCCAACCCCCAACAAAATACTGTTAGTGGCAGTTATATTGCCAGAGCAGCTGAATTCCAGCAGTAATCATTTGTTTTCTCATTGCTTAATGTCCAAAATAATAAGACTTGATTGTTTTTTCAGTCTGACTGCACGAGGTGCAGAGTGATGGTTCCTGATGGAATTGGCTTAGATCTTGTGGTATCTCTTGGTTGGCTTTGTGCCCACGTTTATTTGAATCCCTCTGTGGCTCCTTAGAGTTTGAAATTGTAGAAAGGGTTTTATTAGTCTGAATGCAAAGCTACACATGAAGTGAACTGTGCTGTTAAGATGCTGTGTTTGATTTGTTACCCAGTAACACGCAGGTTCCAATATTAGAGCTAAGAAGCAGAGCTCAAGTACCTGCCAAGCTTATAGACCTGTACTGGTCCCTTAACAGATCCAAGGGAAGGTGGGAGGTTTGGGAGTGAGGAGACAAGGAAAGTATAGGAAAAGGTGTTAAGGACCACAAGCTTATTCCATAGTTTAGAAGAATTTTCATCAAGTGCTGCTTCTAAGAAATGAACAGCAGAATTTAGCCAAAACTATAAAATGTCTATGGATTGTCATAGTAAAGAATGGGATTCATATGTTCCTCTGAGAACTTTATGTGTATGGGTACTATTGGTGGGAGTTCAGGAAAGTTACAGTTAATGTGTACCTCAGAGGAAGCAAACAGATCGTGTTTTAGTCAAATCTTTCAGTAGTTGTTAGTCTATGAAACTGCCAGAAAGCAAAACCAAGCCAAACTACTAAACTTACTGAAACTTTCTTATTAGGAGAGCCAGTTCCCCCCATTAAACCAAACGCTGGTGAAGAGTCAGTTGCTAATCTTGACAAATTAAGGTTTGCTAACGGAAGCATAAGAACTTCAGAACTGCGACTTAGCATGCAGAAGGTAAGTCTGGTGGAGCTCTCAGCTACAGGGTGGGAGAAGCTGCAAGCAACAGTGGGGTTCGGCCACTTTGCAAAGTGCCCTTCAGGATTTGCTTTGCAGAAGTAAAAAGTGGGTGTTAATACTGTCTGTGTGCAGCAAAGCTTGTATGTCTTCTGTTCATTTCTTTTTTCCCTTCATGGTCATTCCTCTTGTGTGGTTTACTTACTGTATAATAGAGTGGGGTTTCATTTGTTTGTGGTGAACAGAAGAATGTGGCATTTTTTAGGCTGAAGACAAGTTTGAAGTCAAACCAGCTCTGTAGCAAGCTCTGTTGGAGCTAAGGAAGTTACATGGGTTCATAAGCAGCATATCAAACTGATTTTGTTTTACTGTGTTGCAGGCAATGCAAAATCATGCTGCCGTATTTCGTACTGGTTCTGTACTCCAAGAAGGCTGTGAAAAACTTAGCCAAATTTATGGTGATCTGGCTCATCTAAAGACTTTTGACAGAGGTAATTTGATAGCAAAGAATACACCTTGGCCAGAGTACTCTCTGGGAAAAGTGTTGGTGTTTGGGGTTTTTTTTTCTGTAAACTTTATGTATTTCTTGAAATTTTGGCTGAAGACTTTGACCACTTTGAAACTTTCAAAATATTTTGTAGAGCCCTACTTACTAAACATGGTAATCAGTAAAGTACTTGATCTTACTGGTCGTTTTCTGGTTGCATAATCTTTGAAAGAAGCAGAGACTGAAATTGGATTTAACTGTGTGAGGTACAAACTGCTCTTCTCTCAGAATACGAGGTGAAGTTGTTCTGATATTAAGAGGAATGATGAACTTCATTAGTATTTTCTGAAAAGGCCAGGGAGTTGCAAGACTATTCATAGGGTTAACAGTTTTCATTCTTCATCTGAGCAGATCCCAGTGCATGCAGATACTGCTATGTCTTGCAGTGTATCTTAAGAGAACTTGGTTATTTAAGTACAACTGATGATGTACGTTTTGTTCACTTACATGTGTTTCTCTTTAGCTATTGCTGTTGGATGTGTTTTCTAACACTAAAACTAGAACTGGGTTTCTTGGACAGCTCTTGCTAAGCATCAAGTAAAGTGTTAACTTAGAATATAGGGATCAAAATGGACATATGTATGTGTAAGTGAACTCGTGTGCATCTTGAAGGACCCTGTGTAACTCGCAGGATTTATTTTCCTCTCTCAGATGGTAGGAGGGAAGGGAAAGCCCTGTTGCATGGATCTATTCGGGATATACTTAAAGAGCTATCATCTAGTCAGATCTTAGGGGCTGAAATGAGGCATGGGGACTGAGTTGCAGGCAAGAATCTATGGCGTAATTTTGACTCAGTAGTACGTATGCAACAGGGACTGGTAGAACAGTAATTTTTCTAAGATTCATGATAACTAGAGTGTTGGAGTCATTCCTGAGCTTTGCAGGCAATGTGAGTAATTCAGTGGAGTAATTGTGGAGTACTGTGGCTGCAGTATATAGAGCTTTGGGTAGCTCAGTTTTTAAGTATCAGCAATAGGACAGAAGTAAATTGAGGAGTGACTTGTTTGTAGACCATTTTCCATAGTATTTTAAAAAATTTTTCTAGGTATTGTGTGGAACACTGACTTGGTGGAGACCCTCGAACTGCAAAACCTGATGCTTTGTGCTCTTCAAACCATTTATAGTGCCGAGGCTCGCAAAGAGTCCCGGGGTGCCCATGCCAGAGAGGATTATAAGGTATAAACGTTTTCTGTGACCCATGTGTAGGATTGAATTTCCTTGTTATGTATTACTTGAAATTTGTAATTTTTTTCTAAGTACAGCCTTCAGTGTTATGATTAGCGTAGTATTTGTTTGGGGTTCCATCTGTTCTGCTTTATCTGTTCTTATTTGTTGTATATAAAATGACCAATATATGCAACACTGGGCAGCAGTCTTGAGAAGAGTTGTTCAATGTGTGCATCTGAATGACTGGAGAGCTCAATAGCTCTCTATAGTGATATAGAGGACTCTATAGTAATATAGTAGGACTATAGTAATACATCATGAATGCATAAACAGGACATAAACTTGCATACACAGAATAATTGTCCTATGCAAGGGAAGTTATCTTAAAGCCCTTGTTAAGACTGAGGATTTAAAATTGGAAACGGGCAGTGTTAAGAAAGCTTGCTGTCTCCTCAGAGACATATTGTGTTACAGTTGTAATTGAAGTGCAACTAATTGTCTGGTTTTAAAGTGATCTGCAGATATAGCTTCTGGCCTAAACTAACCTGATTTTCTTCTTAGTTACGGGTAGATGAGTTTGATTATTCTAAGCCACTCCAAGGCCAACAGCGAAAGCCGTTTGAAGAGCACTGGAGAAAGCACACCCTTTCATATGTGGATATCCCGTCTGGGAAGGTACATGATGCTTGAGGCTCTTTTTTGCTGTCAACAGACAGCTGCTCTCATAGACAGCTTTTGAAATCATGATAATACTGTCACAAAACTTATTTTGTTGCTAAACAGTAGGCATACCTGGGAGAAGTTACTGTTGATCTTTGGGAAGTGACTTTACTATTTGAGCTGGGATTGTGTTTCCCGTTGTGTCAGGCTAGTTCAAAAGCTTTTCTCTTCTAATGGTGACAAAACCTGTTGTTGCTGTTTAGCATAATGGCCTTATGGTATTTCAAAGATAGAACTGCTTTGTGACCCTATAGAAGTCTTGGCCTTTAGGGTGTTTTTTTTGTATCTCATGCTCTAAATCCTCTTATTTCCTCTCCAGCCCGTTTCACCTTCCTTGAATCTAGTTTGGGGACAAGTGAGAACACTTTCACTTCCTGAATAGCTGCTGAGAATAGAAAGAAACACAGTTCTGTCTCTTAACTAATCCCACTGCATTCTTATCTCCACGGCTTTCCTAGATGAAAGAACTAGGAGCTAGCAGTCTTAGCCAAAAGTTTACTTTTTTTCAAAGGCCTTTTTAAAGTCAGTCTTCTGATACCGTTTCTGGTCAGGCTTTGCTTTTAAGGAATTTAGTCAGTGGTAACGTGATGGAACTTTTAAAGTTCCTTGTGGGTTACAAACTGTTCATTTTCTGTGGAAGGAAAATGACGGAGAAATTAGCTTAACATCCATGAAGTTGTTCTGTTATCTGTGTTATTTGGCCATTCCTGTTAGCTAGGCTGTCCTGTTTAGATGCGGGACGTTTGTTTTTCCTAAATTTGTCTGCTCCCTTTTACTTCAGGTTACCTTGAAATACAGGCCTGTGATCGACAGAACTTTGAACGAGGAAGACTGCCAGACTGTCCCACCTGCCATCCGCTCCTACTAGTAATGTGCATTGCCCTTGAAGCCCTTTCCCAGAGGGGGCCAGTGTACATAAGTATAGCACAAGCAAACAAAAACAATGTTGTCACTAGCAATGAATGGAAAATGCTGACTAAACATTTCTCCAGCTTGTATTCTGCTGTGGCTTACTGTACAATTATTAAAAATGGAATGCAGGACAGCTTATGTTCTTTCACCCATCTGTCAAAACTGACATGGACAACACAAAATGTGTCTAAATAAAGTCATTACAAGTCTTGTATTTGTATTTGTTTGAATATGCTGATATATATATATATATATATATATATATATAATTACAGTGCTTTTATCATGAATGTATCGTTGATTTCCATGCTTTAAGAACAAGAAAGGTGAGGCCTGGTGACAGCACAAACAGAAGCACAGGAAGTTCTGTCTGAAAATGAAGACAAACTTCTTTACATAGTGGGTGGCAGAGCATTGCAACAGGCTGCTCAGAGAGGTTGTGGAGTCTCCTTCTCTGGAGAAGTTAAAAGCCTGCCTGGATGTGATGCTTCAGGTGAACTTGCTTTAGCCCAGAGGTTGGACTAGATGGCCTCCACAGGGCCCTTCCATCCTTCCTGTGATTCTGTGAAATGCATCACAGTAGTTTTAGACACAATGGAGATAACTGAACTTTGTGATGTGGGGACTTAAGCATCATAATTTCTGATTATAAGTAACACTGAAGAAAAGGAGAATGATGGACTAGTAATTATAACTTTTTACTGTCATGTTTTTGTTTTATTGAATGAAATGAGACTTCTACTTACTTCCTCTATAATAGAATAATACGATAGTCTGTGTAATCTAGACTGTAATACTAATAGTTAATCTTTACTGACTCTGGAACTTCTGAAGCCATTTTTGTGGCATGCTGTGGGTGTGTACTTCCTCTTAACTCGCAGAGGAACAAAGGGGCAGAAGACTTGCCTAAATGTTAAAGCTTACCAAACTCAAATTTAATGTGCATTTAGTGCCAAGATGTAATTTGTAAGGCATTAATAGAGCAGTTTCTAGGAGTGTTTCTGTGAATAACTTCCAGTTCTTGGATGACAGAAGTGTATTGCAATTGAATGAAGCATTTTGCTATGTTTGACCAAAAAAAAAAAAAAAAAAAAAAGGTTTTTTTACTGCTGAATGGTGGCTGCTGTAGGGAAAAAAAATGAATGTTTGGAAAACCTGAAGTGTTGAAATGGTGGTGCTGGGTGGAAGACTTCAATACACCTTATTGCGCTCGTGTAGTGTTTCTGTACTTCGCACCAGGGGGAGATGGAGCGTGCCGAAGGACTACCCTTGCATGGGCAGGAAGGGGAAAGCCTTGTTTTAATAGAAGGAGCCTTGTCTGTCGCCGGGGGGGGTGGGGGGCGGGGGAAGGGAGATAACGTTCCGTGCATCTTTGACAAGGTTACAGTAAGGCAGGACAACCTCATACTTTTTCGTCCAGCGTGGGAAAATCGCTTGTTTGGCGCCTCCCCCGCTACCCTTGGCCGGGGCCGCGCTGGGCCCCCGCCACCTCTCGGGCATCCCCCTGCTGGCCCGGCCCGTCCTGGCCCGTCCCCCCGCGGCCGCGATGGGCGCGGCGGAGCCTCGGCGGGGGTGGGCGCCCCGGCACCGTGACGCTCGTCCGGGGCGGTGCCGCCTCGCCTCCCACCCCCGCGGTGCTGCCGGCCCCCCGCCACCATGCACCGCTCACTTCGCGCCTGCCGCCGCCTCGGCAGCTCCGCTGGGCTCCTGCTCTCCCGGCCGCCGCCCTCACTGGGTCCCGCCGCGCCCCGCTGGATCCTGCCGCTCCGCGCCGCCATGGTGAGCCCGGGTGGGGAGCGGGCAGCGGTGACCTCTAAGTGCCACCGCCGGCCGCCGCCGCCCTCGCTCCGCCCCCGCCCCGGGGGGAACGGGCAGCGGGCGCTGCCGGAGGGAGCGGCGGCTGCCGGCGGGGCCGGGCACGGGCGCTTTAATCCGGGGTGTTGCTCCGTCGGGGTCACGCCGGCAGCCGGAGGACGTGGCCGCCGTTCCCTGCCCGGCTTGCGCGGCCGTTTCCCGCATCCTTCCTGCGGCCCCGCCGGGCCTGGCTCGGCCCCGCTGACGGCCCCGGATCTGCGGCCCCGAGCGGCGGCTGCTCCCGGGGCGGGCCGGGATGTGCAGCCCTCCGGGGGATGAGATTGACGCCGTGAGCGCGGCCCTGAGCCGCCTTGATGTGGCCGGGGAGGGGAGGCAGGTAGGAAAGGCGCAGGACCTCTCTGCCGTGCGGCAGCTGCTCCCACAGGAATTTATGACCCTTTCTTAGAGCTGTTGAGGTACAAATAAGGAAAAGCTGCGTCTTCTCAGGAGTGGGGATATCCGGAATATCTTCGGGGCTGTCTGAAAACTACCGAGCTTTTAGCTGAGAGAGCAGCCCGTGGCCTCTAGCAGGCATCCGCAGTAGTTGGGCTCAGACGTGAGTGGGACTCGATTATTGCACACAGTTCAGCGTAGAAACAAAACTGCTATTCCAGTACGGAACTTCAAATCTCGGTAATAACACCTAGAATGTTGCATGGAAGCCTTAGCCGCAGGTGCATCTCTGCGCTCACTCCTTAAAACGGGGTAATTTAGACTGTCAGAAAAATTTCGGCAGAAAGTGGGGTGTTCAGGATTTTATCAATTCCTTAGTTTGCCATGTTAGGTAGTAAATTGAACGAGAACATTGGTTTCCAATCTGTGATATTGATTAGGGTGTAGAAAATAGCATTTAAAAGAACAAGTTTTCCAACAAGCGAATAAACTTCATGGTGGATGAAACTTACCTGCATAATAAAATTGGTGTCAAAGCAGACTCTGTAGCTCAAATCGTTGGCCTGTGAGATGGTTCCCTTTTTTATCTTTCCATTTGGTGTCTAAGAAAAACATTCTAGATCATGGCCTTGATTTACTTGCTGAAGACTCAGTAGGTGTGAAAGGCTGCTTTCTTACAAGAAAGGTAAGACCTGCTCTTTGCAGGTCAGAAGTACCTGTGTGCGCTGTTAGTTGCTTTGGTTTAAATAACAGCAGTAGTCATAACAAAATGTCCCTCAGTGGATTTGTAACTCAAGTAGCTGTTGAATTCTCATAGGAAAAGTTCTGTGTGTTTTTATTTAAAAGAGGTCCACCAAAAGATGTACCAGCCAGTATTTAAATTAAAAAAAAAAATCACTTTTTGATGTCTGTAGATATTTTTTCACTAGTAAGAGTTGTTCTAAAACACATTGTGTAGCTAGCTACAACCAAATGTTTATGTTGTCCTATGGTGTGACTCTTCACTTAGAACTATATTGCACAGGATATTTTAAATGGAATTGAGGTCACAATGGTCCTTCTGTGGCTGAATGTTTTAAAATTTTGGGGTTTGGTTTCTAAAGGGTAGATTTCAGAATTTTTGACTCGATGTTTTTAAGGGCAAGTGATGCTTAAAAATGGAAACATCCCTCATCTGCTAAAGGGGAGCAATTGAGCATAGATTACATTTTCTGATGGCCTCAGAAAGTGCCTTGACAGGCTAAAACCAATGATTTTTTGAATTGAAATACTTATATCTGAAAGTTGCTGCATCTGTAAATTATATTTTTCCACAGAAAGCGATATTGCAGCAGTTCTGACATTTGAGTATCTCCAGCATGTTATGGTGCAATCAGTTCTAGCTGATTAGCTCCTTACAACAAGGCAAAAGTACAGTGCTGTTTGCCTAATTTGATAAGCTTTGGACTGTGGGTTCTCGGGATTTTGGAGAGCAGAGCTTGCCTTGTTAGGCCTTTCTAAGGAATTAAAAAAAAAAAAAAAGTGTAAAGGTGAGGAATAGTAGCTCTGAGCAGAGGCCTGTAGCTGTGATAGAAACTAGGTGAGCACAGGAGTTTGCCTTAGCTTGTGATGGAGTTGGTAGGTCACCTTTTGGCTTCTACGGCCCAGGGGGTCAGGGAGTAGAGGGTTGACAAGAGTGTGGTAGTGATGCACCATTTCATAGCCCATCCTGTAGGTCAGGGACTGGCTGCAGAAACTGCTTTACATACAGGAACTGGGACCTTCTCCTCATAAAACCATTCAAGAAGGTTAATTCTGGCTGAGGAGTGAGGGAAGCATGTTTGTTACATTCAAATTCAGACAAGGCTTCTTCAGGGCGCTCCATCAGTGTGAAGGTAATGGCTGCAGTTTAGTTACTTCAGTATGTGTGAAAAGTACCCCTTTGCTTTTTTGGCTAATGTCACTTCTTACTCTGTGAGTCAGCAAATTACATTCATCTTAAAGCACCTTACCCTGTTAACTTCATTGGAGTTTGTGAATGTGCAATGTGCAACTGGCTAGGGAAATAATTTTTTTTAATAACGATTTTGTTGTTAGAAAGTACTTGTACAAGTGTGCACTGATCCTATTTACCTTTGTTTCACCATTGTTGACACTGGGATTATGTAAGTTTGAGGAATCAGTTGTGCAACTGCTAGCTTTTTTGTCTAAAAGGTCACAGGTAGTTTAACTTTTTTATATCATTTGAGCCTGGAAACTTTTGATGATTGAAACACTGATCATACCAAGAGCTGGGCTTGGAACTGAATTGGTTCTGCTTATCCAGCTCTGTGAAAGCTTGACATTGTTTGCTTTTACGAGGCACCCAAATACCTAAAGCAGGGATTTCCCAGCTTTGTTGGAATATTAATATGTGCACTTGTACAGTAAGACCCACAAGCATCCCTATTAAACATTTTTGGTAGTAAGATACCGAAGAAGCGTTTACTATGTTGTGTTTCTTGTTAGCATGTAAATGAATGCTAAGTGACTCAAATAGGATAAAGAAGATTAAAGAACATAGGAACGATGTACTGTTCCACACTAATCTTTCTGTTCTTGTGAAGTCAGTGTCTGGGAGAGTATCAGCCAAAACACAAGATACAGGGAGCGGACAGCAATGTGAGAGCTAACCCTTGCTGAGGGCTGGGCTGCAGTTTCTTCTGGGTCACGTGCACCATCTACTCTGCAAGTACTCAAAGTGAGCAGGGCTGGTGTCTCTGCTGTGGGACTGATGGAATACCTGATGGCAGTGTTTCCATCTGGCTAGGAATGGTGCTTAGGACAGCAAAAAGGCTGGGACACTCCCCTTTCCCCGCCTGCAACTTGCCATCCGTGGTGATGCAAACCTGGGCAAGCTGCTGCAGAAGGTCAGGGCTGCCGGAGGGTGTTCTGGCCAGTACCCAGCTGCGCTCCTGTCCGAGAAGACTGAGACTCACCTAACAAGGAGTGAGTAAAATGAACCAAGAAGAGAAAGGAACAGTCTGACTTCAGAAGTGGATTCCTGGGGAAGAATAAGAACTGTGCAAACGTATACAATGCTTTTGCCATATTCTGACCCAAACTCTTCATGTGCTTGGCACTGGTGAGGCTGTACCTCAAGTACCGTGTCTAGTTCGGGAGCCCTCATTACAAGAAAGGTATTGAGGTGCTGGAGTGGGTCCAGAGAAGGATGATGGAGCTGGAGAAGGGTATAGAGCACAAGTCTTAAGAGGAGCAGCTCAGAGAGCTGGGGTTGTTCAGCCTGCAGAAGAGGAGGCTCGGGGGAGACCTTACTGCTCTCTGCAACTGCTTGAAAGGGACACTGTAGCAAGGTGGGGGTCAGCCACTCCCCCCAGGCGGCCAGCGACAGGATGAGAGGACGTGGCCTCAAGCTGCACTAGGGGACAGGTTGGACATCAGGAAGAATTTCTTCACTGAAAGGATTGTCAAACATTGGAATGGCCTGTCCAGGAAAGCAGTGACTTTCTTGTTCTGCAGCATC